ACGTCATCATTACTCAAGAAATGAATACCCCGGACATCACTGTATGGGCTAGAATTTGGGTTGGAGGTGTCATCGGACCGTTCTTCTTTCATGATAACGTTACTGCAGACAGCTATCTCAAGATGCTTCAAAACGATATTATTCCCGCTATTGCAAGGGAAATGGATTTAGAAGAGATAGTCTATATGCACCACGGAGCTCCAGCTCATTACGCTCAATCTGTTCGGCACTTTCTGCACAAAACATTTCCTGATCGATGGATTGGTCGACGTGGATGGATTGACTGGCCGCCACGATCTCCAGATCTCACACCAACTGATCTTTTTTAGGGGCTCTGGTCAAAGAACGTGTATACGCGACGAAACCTCGAGACCTCCAAGCACTAGAAGATGCTATAATCACCGAAACACAAAGTTTATCGGTGGAATTTTGTCGAAGAGCTTGCCAGTCAGTACCTGAGAGACTTCAACTTTGCAAAGATTTAGATGGTAAACATATTGAACATTTTTTGTAAAAAATTTCATAACAAGAACACTTTACAAGGATATGCATTTGTACGTGTTTTTTTCTTTGTCCGAACTTCTAATAAAAGTTTCATTGAAACTCACAAGTTTGTACTTCTTGTGAGCCATTTTGCATTTGAATGTTTTCGAACCAATTACACTGCATCTAAATATTGTTCATATGCTCCATCCTTTACTTATATCATCTAGTATATGTGGTATAAATATGAGACCTAACCGACGATCTAGAAGATAGAAATGGAAAAAAATACTATTTTTCCTTACTTTTGGTCCACCCGGTATATCTATATTCATAGTGTATGTAAACTATAATGTATCAGTACATTTAATAGATAAGTTAATTCATTGATCATATATATAAAATATTAAACAATAAAATTAACTAAATGAGAACGTCCATTTTTATTTATGTATTAGTATCATGGCGAGATTGAGAACGAGATAGGTAGAAGAAGATAGAACATAATGGAAATCAGATCGAAGGTTGGGTGGATGTTGTCAAAGGAAGGGTGTTTTGTTTTGATACTTGTTGTGTAGTAGAAGAGAGGTATAAATTTTGAAAGTTTCATGCAGATGTAGGTAGTGCTTTGAAAATTGTGTGTCTAGAATAAATGATGTAGCGTGGTATTTTATAAAAAAGCTAAATGAGAATCATTGTTTTGATGGTTGTTTGCTATGGCTGGTACTGTATGAAGGACTAAGAATAGCTGGGATGGGGTGTGGGTGTGGGTGTGGGTTTTGGTGAGTGTGAGGTAGATCAACTCCACACCCACACCCTCGAAAAAATCTTATTCTGAAAGACTCTAAGAATATGCGACAGTTATCACAACAAACAAGAACATTTCTATATTTGATAATCAATTTCTGAAGGAGTGCAGGACACAATATTTTTCGTATCCAATTTTCTAGAATCTAAATAATTTCTTGTATCAATCAATATAAGTTCTATGACATTAAATTGACATTTGGTTCAAAGATAGTTGTTGTTATATTGAAATGAACATGTCAAAGTAGTTTCGCATAATACTGCAATGGGTGAACATTTAATTTCGAAAATACACCAGCTAGCTCAACAAATTTGATCTGACCTAAACTAATAGTGGAACCAGATAAAATATGAATGAATCAAATTAGACTAAAATATTAAACTTAAATTTGGTTTAAGAACCTGTCCAGAGGCGTAGCCAGAAATTTTCTAAAGGAGATGCCCGCCAGCAGCAAAAAATTCTTGGTCATATGAATAGGTTCTTATAGTCTTGTACTCTCCATCCAGGCATTTTTTTTCTTGAAGGAAAATGTCCAGGCACCCTGAACATCCCTTGGTTACGCTTCTGGATCTGTTTGACAAGCGGCCAGCCTATAACCCTCATTTAAATAATCAAAGAAATCTATCTATTCGTATAAGTAACCACGAAGTACATGAACATTTTTCTCTTTTTGGTTTTTTCATTATTATTTTTTTTATTTAAATGTTTATTTTATTACTTAACTTTGTTTATTCTAGCTGTATCTTCATTTCTTTTTTATTCTAATTTATTTTACTCTGTGTAATGGTTTGTTTTCATTGTCAAATAAATAATTATGTAAATCGATGCATGATCTAATAACTTTTAAAAATATGTAAATGTACGTCATCTTTTATTCTATTTCACTTATCGAGTCAAACAAGATAACTAATAAGTTTTCTTTTAGTTTCTCTCTATATATTTTTCATAATAAGAGGAGAATATCATCAATATCAAAAATATACCTAGAATAAATGAATCGTTCTATTTTGTTTTTAAATCTTATTATTTTGCTGATTCGTATCAAAGAAAACATATAGATGATTAATTTTTTTGTGATCGAATACAATAATGATAATAATGAATGACGTCGTCAGTTCTATAGAAAAATAATTCAACGATTGCAGAATAAAAATTGATCGTATTATCTATTTAATTTAACTGATATGTTCATATATACATGTTAATAACAAGAATGGATATAAAGAACAAAACATCAATTAGAATCATATAAAAAAACACGAGATAAATCATAATTAAATAATCAACACTATGAAATGATTACCAATTTACTTAATTGTAGTCTTGAAGTATTTGGGTGTGGGTATGGGTGTGAATATATCAGAAGGCAATGTCAAAACCGACACCCACACCCACACCTCACCACGACAATTGAAATATTCACTATGATAAAAACAATATATGTATTGCTTATCCAAAGCAAAAATGACATTCATTTTCTAATTGTAACTTCAGATTACATTAAATTGCGATTAACTAAAGATCGAAGATTATTCAGCGATACTTATTCAAGTATGTAATAGGAATCAAACTTTTCTTTGTTTTTCTTTCAGATTTTTTAATGATTGTCCTTAAAAACGACAGCTAAACACACATAGTAATCCATGCCTGCTTAATCCCCACGCGACAACAACTTCTTCTATCATTTTGACTTCCCATAAAACAAAATAATTAACGGTCTTGAATTGATTCTTTATTGATATCAATCTAGAAATTGTACCACCTGATGATTCTGGTTGAGTTTGAGATGAAACGTTGTGGTAGCTTATACTCATCGTCGTAGGCAAAATGTTAGTGCAAAGTATCTTGCCACCTGATGAGAGCGTTTGTCAGATCAAAATCGCGATGGTAGCTACTTACGTCTTAGATTTTCGAATCTAAGAGATATACAGGGTGTCCCATAAGTAACAAGACAAGGAAAAAAAGTTTGAATATCTCCATTAGGGCTCGACCAAATGGGCTCAATTTTTTATCAAGGATAGAGGCATCTGCACACTCCAAATCCATACGAACAAGGTGAATGAGAACCTTTGTTAAGTATCACTATTGACCTCAACAATAAAATTTTTACTTTTTCACAGACAGGAAAATAAAAAGATATACTTAACAAAGGTCCTCACTAAGCTTGTCTGTATGGATTTGAAGTATAAGCATGCCTCTATTTTTGGTAAAAAAATCAGCTCGGTTGCTCGAGCCGTAATGGAAATATTTAATTTTCTTTTCGATAAAGTGACTTTTGCACTATCCTGTATATTGGTTTTTTCTTACCAGTGACAAAGCAAAAATTTTATTGTTGAGATCACTAGCGATACTTAACAAAGGTTCTCATTCACCTTGTTCGTATGGATTTGGAGTGTGCAGATGCCTCTATCCTTGATAAAAAACTGAGCCCATTTGGTCGAGCCCTAATGGAGATATTCAAACTTTTTTTCCTTGTCTTGTTACTTATGGGACACCCTGTATATATATACTCACCCTCGCTCTCACCCTCAAGGTGGCAGCACCTCAATAACCCATTACCGTACGTTAAGACGGTCAAAATGCTTTGTGATCTCAAATCAGTTTTAATCAACGTCATTACGTGACCATCGGACATTATTTAGGATTCGTTATTCAGGCACTAGGTATTTGGTATCATCTCATCGACATTTATTTTTCTTCATTGAATAGAACACACAAGACAGATGGTTGCATCAAAAATCTCTTGATTTGATTAAACTTGGTCGTATCAGTTTGATAGCTGTTTTCCATCATAAATTCGTGACAGAATAACAACACCGTTTCTTGGAATATTTTTTTGTTGAACTTTCGTTTTCTTCATTCAAACAGGATTTTTCTCGCAACCTAATATCACGAGCTACGTATTGCACGTTAAACCAGTTTTATCTATCGACATCGACACCAGCATCGTCTGTACGTGGACGTCAAACACACTTCATGCATCAGCGACTCCATTATCGAACGTGTTACGCGTGTTTGCTCTTGCATCATTCGAAAATATATGCTTTGCGTTCGTACTTTATTGTCTATCGTCTTTTCTTCTTTTTTTTCATGTGTCTATACACACATTTCTACCGATTGAGAGGTCTGTTACAGACATCTTATTTATTTACATGCTTTCACATCGATTTAGCTATTCGTGTATGGTTTCTCTCTGTTCGTTTTCGCTTTCTCTTTTCGTCTGTTTTGCTCTTTCGTTATCTCTCTTATGTGTTTAGACATTCATTCGTATTAGAGTGAGCATAGAGACGAGTCGAATAAAGGGAGCTCTAATAATCACTGGGGACGATTTCGTATGCGTAGATGAAAAGAATATAATGTAAGGTATTTTTTTCGATCGTAAGTAGATAGATGCAAAGAACAAATATAAAATCAACGTTGGCTTCCTATTATACATCAGAACTAATATTTATCTCTCGTCAACGTGATCAGTGTTTATAATTGCGTTTGTTGTGTTTTCACTCATTATAAAAAAATGACTACAAACACCGGTGCAACTCTTGGGATGGCTTCAGGATATAATGAAAACAATTTTTCTCAATTGGCTTTAGTTAATTACATGATACCATATATTCATTTGGGTATTGATCACTTAGATATTTCATCTTCATCTTCAACGTTAATTATTGCTGATTTTGGTTCATCTCATGGATGAAATTCAATAGAAGCTATGAAAATCATTATTCAATATCTTCAACAAACAAATAAGCTCATCACATCACCACTTGTTGTTCATAATGATCTTCCAACAAGTGATTGGACAACACTTTTTCAACTTCTTGCCAAAGATAATTCATATCAAGGTATGGCTAATGGTCGTTCATTTTATCAACAATGTCTTCCATCAAACAGTCTTTCGATTGGATTTTCATGTACGTCAGTTAATTGGCTATCAAAAGTGCCTTGTACCATCGCCAATCATCGATTTTATATATATGCCGAAGAGAAAGAACGTGAAGCATTCAAACATCAATCAAAACTTGATTTTGATGCATTTATAGAGAATCGTTCTCGAGAACTTGTACCTGGTGGCATTCTTATTCTTAATATTTCGAGTGCTGATCATGAAGGAATAGTATGTGCTGCTCCTCTTACTGTGATCATCTTTATACATGTGCAAAATTACTATTCAATAAACAAGAGCTATCGGACTTAACAATTCCTGTATACTGCCGTTCATTATCTGAATGTGTCGATCATGTATGGTTGGATCGATGTTCATTACAATTGATCAAAGCTGAATTAGGTCCAGTGAATTTGCCGTTTTTTGAACAGCTTCAAAAAGGACAATTAACACTTGATGAATTTATTAAAATAATGACCAAAACAATACAATGTGCTTTTGAAGGCTCGGTTAGACAAGCATTGGAAATGAATGGACGTTCGAAGGAAGAAATTGATCAATTATTGATGGAGTTTTGATCTCTATATGAAGAAAAATCGCACTTAATTGCTAGTGATAATCCATTTGCATGCGGGTGGGTGAGAGTAAGCATTACACAGCCAGATCCTACGTCCACACTCACACTCATACCCACCCACACCTACACCCCACCAGCACATCCACACCCACATACTCACACCCACATTCCCACACCCTTATATGACCTCATCGACTTGATAGTCATCAGTATCATTCTTCTGTTTCTTCACCAAATGTCCATACAGAAAAACTATTAAACGGTATTCTCGCTGAAAGAGAAACCAAGACTAAACAAAGGTTAAAATAGAAAAATGGGGATAGAACGAAGTATAGGTACAATAAATCATTGAAGAGGATTACAACTTCCGATATCATCAGGCGTTACTGGTCGCACTTGATCGAATCCAAACGGTGTAATTTGTGCTTCATCCAACTGAAGAACGAGTCTTGCTGCTTCTTTTGCAGATAGAAAGATGCGAGTCATCCCATGTCCACTGAATCCTGCACAAATAACTGCTTTATCAACTTGTTTAACCACCGGAATCCCAAATTTCGTAAATCCCATGATTCCCGTCCACTCCATCTCGACTCTTTCACCACCCAACTTTTCACAAAACCTTTGTAATTCGACGCTCACCTTCTCGTTTATAATGGAGTCATCTATTGTGTTGATTTCTGCAGTAGGAGAGAAGCGACGGGCACCTCCAAGAATTAATTTATTGGTGGATCTTTGAGAGAGGTATTCTCCGCCATGGTTGAATGAACTATTTTGAATAAATCTATCAACTGGACTCGATTGAATGACTTGTCCACGAACCGGGATGATAATATCTTTCATTTGAGGGAGTAAGAGAGAGGTGTAGCCATTTGTTGCATAGACAATCTTTTCAGCAATGATAGCTCCTCGATTCGTATGTATCGTGTTATTTTCGACCTTTTCAACCGGCGTATGGGTAAACAATTTAATTCTATCTCCAAACTTTTTGAATAAATTGGACAAAAGACCAGTCACCATTTTATAAGGATGTATAGATCCACTATATGTATGGACAACGAGTCCTTCGCATCTCATTCCAACCATATTTGAAGCTTCTGGATTTTGATAGATTCGAACTTGAGAGACTGGCCCTCCTATATTTCTCATCATTTCAACACTCCTCTTTAGATCTTCGAACTCATTTGTAGAGAAAGCGACGTTATAATATTCTTTACGAACAAATTCACAGTCTAGTTCTTCTTCCCTAATAATCTTCACGATTGTCTCGTAATTGTCTATTTCAAATTGTGCGTGTTGAACAACTTGAGCAGGCGAAAATCCGTTAGATAGTAGCGAGAGTGTAGTAGAATAAATATCAGGTGTCAAAAGCCCTCCGTTTCTGCTCGTTGCGCCAGAACATACTTGTCTTGCTTCCAACAACGTTACACATGACGTAGAAGAGGAGTTCAAAACATGGTAAGCAGTGGAAATTCCAGTGAATCCGGTGCCGATAATGACAATGTTAGATTTTTTAGGAAGTTCACTTGAAAAATAATCGGAAAATGGTGATTTTTCGACTTGCCATGCAGAATTCGTGGAGTCTTTGGGTATTTCCATCGTTGTCCAAGTCTAACATCAACAAAACGTTGTCTCTTCAAATTTTTCAGTGAGAGAAAAACAGTATCTCACGATGAAGAAAAAGAAAAAAAGATATGACTTGCTTTATCTTCCTGTTATTCGACCTTTGAATATGTTGTTGACTCTGTTTTATAAAAAAAGAAGAAGGGTGTGAGTGTGAGTGTAGTTATCCCTTAAACCACACCCACAGCCTCAAAGTTGCCATAAATCTTTTTCTTATTGCGTTGACTTTGTTATGAATATGTATGAAACAAAGCCTTGGATAGTAAATTTGTTTCGTATATGTCGTTGTCTTCTAACTAATATGTTTTTAACGAAAGAACGTCAAAAGAAATTGAACTCTGTGAAACTCTAGTTTGGGGATCTGTAGTAGAACTAATGATATTAGTCTGCTAAAGAATTAAAGAGCTCAAATAAACTGTCTATCTTAATTTGTCGTCGTAACATGTAATATGTTTTATTAAATAAACAAATAATACATATAAATGGACAATGATAATGATAATGAAGATAACAATAATAATAATAGATGAATAACGATAACAACAATAGAAAAATCAATAGCAATAATAATAATGGTGATGTGAGAGAGAGAGAAGAAAAGCAACAACTGAACAAAGAAAAAAAGATAACAGAAAGAAGATGAAAGAGAAAACATCAAAGAGGATGAATTTAACCAATAGCAAGGAATAGATGAGTTGGCGTCATAGAGTGACATCTATTGACGCTAACAAATGCAAGTAGAAAAAAATAAAATTCGAAAGACAACAAACTTGCATAGAAGAAAGTCACCATTTTGCAGTTGATCAATAATTCAGTTAAAGCTTTAATGCATTCTCAACTTTAGACATAATGTAAAAAAAAATATTTTAGTCAACAGAATTGAAAAGAATTTTACTTTTCGTTAAAGACGACGAAAACCGAACTGTTTTAGTTAAATAATTGAGATGTAGTACGAAATATTGTCTTGCAAGTCATTTGTCTCGACTGAAATCAATCTCATAGATTTCTTATACAGTTGATCAAAGTTTTTTATTGTGAGGATATGGGTGGGTGTGGGTGGGCGTGGGCGTGCGGTGTGAGTGGATACGGATGTGGATGTGGGTGTTGGTGTGGATTAAGGGATAACTACATCCATACCCAAATCCATATGTTTAATGATCGGCGCAGCGAGTTTAATTGCCATATGAACAGTGGGTTACAATAGAATTGTAATGTATTCACAGCTATGTATGGCAGAGCTGGACAACTCAATTCATAGACAAAAATAATCCATTACATTTGATATAAGGAAAATGAGTACTTCAATTCAATTCAATACGTTAATCGTTGATGTTCTTGTCTATTCGTTTCCATTCAATGACATATAAGAACTTTATTGATTAAATTGGGCCGAATTCCTAGATTGAATTGAGTTGAGTTGAGTTGGAATGAATTGAAATTTCCTTTGTTTTGAATTGAGTTGCCCAGCTCTGATGTATGATGAGTATACAACCGACCTACGATTATTGAGTATGTTAATTCGAAAAGATATTTCAAGCATCTTACAATGGAAGGTCGCGACCTGTCAGTGACGGAGACAAGACTTGTTCGGGCCAAATGAAAGCTCTCATCTTTAAACTATCAAATTTAAAATATTACATGCCCATAGAATCCCTAGAGAAAGTTATTTTACATTTTAAGGTATGTAAAATTTGGGTATAAAAATGAATCACGAAAGGTTTCCTTCACTATTGTAAGGACAATACAAGGTGTTGTTCGGGCCGATTATGGGGTTTGTAGGTATCCTCTTTCATATGGCCTGAAAAAACACCATCTTTTCTCCGTATAATAGTAAAGTGAATATTTTTTGCGGATGATGGAAAATGCTGCTTTCTATAAGGTATAGAAAATATTCACTTTACTATTATACGGAGAAAAGATGGTGTTGTTCGGGCCATATGAAAGAGGATCTCTACAAACCCCATAATCGGCCCGAACAACACCATGTATTGTCCTTACAATAGTGAAGGAAACCTTTCGTGATTCATTTTTATACCCAAATTTTACATACCTTAAAATTTAAATAAGTTTCTCTAGGGATTCTATGGGCATGTAATATTTTTAATTTGATAGTTTAAAGATGAGAGCTTTCATTTGGCCCGAACAAGTCCTGTCTCCGTCACTGACAGGTCGCGACCTTCCATTGTTAGTTACAAGAATTTGAAAATGATGTTAATGTTCGTATCATTAGTTTTTAATTTCGTGATATCTTATATATTCATTTGTTGTATGACTATCTATTAATATTTCTATTTACGAATTATTGTACGATCTAGAACACATAAGAGCAATTTTCACAAATAGAAAGACAATTTAATTATGATTTCAAAACTCAATCACTATGAATTATTCGTCATAAAGATCAAAATTAAAAAATGATTCGTAAAAGATATTTTTTTCGTAAGTTGATCAACAATCAATTTTACATGGAACAGTTATTAATTATTTGGACTTAATTCAATATGACAATAATCATTAATATTTGCCTGTGTCAACGAAGCTTTCTTCATATTATGCGTTTGCTTTTCTACTCCCAAGAGATAATAACGTATAGACACGCTCACGTATAACAAATACTGCCACAAGAAAAAATAAAAATAAAGAAGTGACAGAGAACATAAGAAGAAGATGTAGACAGCAATATGGAAAGACAAGAAAATGAAGATTAACGTCACTATCTAAAAATCATATTGTTGTAGCCTGTAATTCTTCCTTACATTACTGATACTCAAGAACATTCATCACCTCAATATCAAATACGATTATTTATTATTAAAAGAAATGACAAAGGAAAAAAGATTCCCATTGCATATGTATGATGTTGGAGATGCTGTTCGACTTCTTTCTCTTTGTGTCGATCTCGACTATGATTATTTTTTTAAAACTATTATCTAACTAAGACGATAAACAAATAAAATAATGTCACAAAACTTGTTTTTTTTGTGTACTTTTATTTTCTTTCTGTTGAGGTTTATGTGTTGAAGAGAAAAATAAACTGTTACTTTATTTCTTTTTATTCATAACAAAGTAAAAACTTTCATGATATCTTTATCTATGTCATTAAAACCACCTTGTACTGTATGTGGTAATAAAAGCGCAGGTATTTTTCGATGTGAAAGATGCTTACATGTATTTTGTCGAAAACATCTTAATGAACATCGAGATGTTCTTAGTCATCAATTGAATGAAATTGCTCAGGAACATGATATTTTACAACAAATTATTGTTGAAAATGAAGACAAACAAGCAAATGATCTTCCTATTCTGAAACAAATTGATGAATGAGGAAAAGTTTCAATTAGGAAAATTCAACAAACATCACAAGAGGTAAAAATACATGTCAAAATATTGACTAATGTCCATTTCACAATTAAATGGACCTAGGTATTTTTTCAATAACTTTAAAACAGAAAGAGAAAAGGAACCAGAGATGTCCATCGTGACGCTGCCGCTGCCGCTGCCGCGATGGCGGTGGCGGCGCGGCAGCGTCAGGTTTTTTAAAAAACCATCGCGGCAGCGGCAGGACTTTTTAGGAGGACATTGAAAAACTGTATGAATTTAATAGAATTTCAGGATTTACAAATGAAACGCCCTGATATTGAATAAATCTGATGGACTAGTACCCATATCTCTGGTCAAATATAGTCACAGCAGTGAAATTAGAAACACTTTTTTATAAACCGTCGCGGCGCGGCAGCGGTAGATTTTCAGCCGCGATGGACATCTCTGAAAGGAACTCAAGTTTTTCGTACTATCAGGAGTCGACATTGCTCTGTCTTTTTACAAAGTCGATGAAAAGTTTCAGTCGCTTTCCTTCTTAGATACATCATGAGTTTTGAAGATGAGCTTAATTCGCTTTTAAAACAACCTACTTTCTCAACTATATTATAATGGGTAGATAGCCTAACTTCTCTATCGATCTACGCAAGACAGAGGCACATAACTGTTTGCGTTCAAACGATATAAAGATTTTACTGAAGGCTACTCATCGATTTTTTTCGAAATCTTAGCAACTAACAAATATTGTCTTCTACAAGTTTTTCGTCGCCTCCGACTTCGTGATATGATTTCTTAACTTTTGGAGGTTTTTTTTTCTACTTAACCTTTTGAGGACGGGTGGGTGATATTTGTCCCACCTATTTTTCAGTACAGAAAATGTTTGTTCTATGTTAAACTGTTACAATCTTTAAGGTAAATAGGTCGCCTATCTGCCACCTAATGCAGGTCTTTTCTCTCTTTCTTCCTGCCATATAGATCTTCTCAGATGTCCTCCTTTCTTCCTGCTACTATATACTGACGCATGATTTCTCTCTTTCTTCACTCAATACATTATCATCAGGTTTTTATCTCATCATTTGAAGCCAAATACAACAGTCTGATTGAAGAACCATTTTTCGATTGAAAAAAAATTTCGTCCTCAAAGGGTTAAAGCGTAATAGAAGATCATACATCGGATGTTGATGTGTTGATGTGTTGATGTAGTGCGTAGGAGTGGTGCGGATATGAGTATGAGTGTGAATATAAGTGTTGTTTTTTTCTTCAGTCACTGTCCTACCCACATCCCTTTATCAATTGGACACTGTATTTTTAGCCTTACAGAGTTGGTCTCGGTCAATATGAAGACATATATACGTGATAGAAACACAAAGTTTACTTTCACTGAAGTGAACAAATCGGCATAAGAAAGACTTATAGTTTAGGTACACAGAAGCAACCAGTTACATCAGTCACGTCAAGCAGCATGAAAAAAATAGGGTGGGTGTGGGTGTGAGTGTCTGTTTTGCAATCTACAGCCACGCACACCCACATGCTCAATGATATGCATTTCTTTTGGTATGTCACTACAAAAAGGAAGTCTAATGGTGTCAAGTTTGGTATTCGCGAAGCTCATGAAACCGCTTTGTGTTTCCGAACGATGACTCGTGAACTGGAAGAGGTGAACCGATCTTTTGAACTTCATGATCGCCAGACTTGACACCATTAGGTTTCTTTTTGTAGTGACATACCAAAAGAAATGCATAGAACTGATAGCGAAGAATCTGGCCGATCTAAACGTCACACGGAATGCAAGAAACTAAAGCATTAAAAAAGGAACACAGCCTAGCGGTTTTTTAGAAACCGAAAAACGAGTGCTTTTTGTATATCAGCCGAATCTAATAACTTTGAACATTATTTGTGAACCTTGTCCATATCAAAAAAAAATTCACCTTGGTACTTATCATTTGAAAAAAAAATCAGTTGATTAAGGTTGATAAATAATGGAGATATTCAAATTTACTTTTCTCGAGGACTTTTGGAACACCCTGTACATTGGCTATTTGCATTCTAAGCAACCGAATCTCAACCTGAATAAAAATTACATAAACATGTCTTAGTTGTTACTTCTGTAACTCTTTATATACGCTAAATGTCATAGTCAGATCTATCGTAAATAGTATATAGTATTTTTATCCTATAGCAGATTGAAAAAAAAAGGAATTTTATTAAACACCTCTACTCTCTAGCATATTCTGACACAGAATTATTAATCTGCATGAAGAATATCCAAATAAAAATCTATCGAAAAGAAATCTTTGTTGCAAGCATTAAACTCCATCCTATTTGATAAGGTCAGAAATAACTTCGATATTTATTTTACAAAGTAAATTATAACTGGAAGATTATAATAATAAGAAAAATATTCAAATGACACAAATGAATTTTGTCTTAACAATGCTAAACTATAAATACCCAATTCATTTCTATGACCAATAATAATCTTATATAAAAATATCAATGAGACATTTCTATTAGCCTTTGAATTCCTTGCTTCTTTGCAATAATTGTTTTTTTTTCTAAAACCTTTATGTGCAGTGGATTTATTATGATATTTAAAATTCAAAAAAATACATTTGAGCATTTCGTTTCATTGTACTCTTGATTATTGAGTTCTTTGTACATAAACAAGTATGTATGCATTTTTAGTAACAATATTTTTATCACTATCAATTTTTCTGACAAATTGATCATCAAATAAATACCAATTTTCATCTCGAAAATTTTTTGCAAATGTTGTATAATGTCCAGACATGAGACTACCCGTATGATTGGAAACAGCAACTAGATCATAGTTTGTTGATGAAATTTTTTCAGCATCATTATTACCATCTTTTACAATATACTCATTAAGATCAAGTTCATGAAGAGGAAATGAAATATATGTATTAATTTTTTTATTTGAATAATTGTCATATGCAAATCTTTTTAATTGTATTACGAGTACGTGTGGTAATGGTAAACATAATTCTGACTTACGTTGAGCTATACTAGATTTTGAACATTTCAAACAATGATAATCACCATCAAGATAATCTTCACGAAAAAAATCAGCTAACAATCTATTTAATATTGAATTATTAGTTGAATCCTTGGTATTGTACTGTGTTTTGTAGATATCAACCCATTTAGAAGCCATTGCAATATTAATAGTGAGTATACATGGCAGCTCCTCATCTGTATCTGTTTCTATATTCAACTTATATCGCCTTTTTTTTCGATCAATCCAGTATATTTGACAAGCGGAAACTGGTGCATGTGTCATAGAACAAAGATGACCAAGAAGTTGATCAATTTGATCTGATAGATGTAGATAACTACATTTTTGATCCGGACAAAATAGAACAGTTGGTGGACGGAATGCTTCACCAGTAGTACTATCGATGAATTCACACCGCATATATTTTTCATGAGTGGTCTTCTCTGGACGTTCTAGAAAAGCAAGTTCTTCTTCATTTACATCATGAATGGAGTTCCAAGGCTCATATAATTGATCAATGATATTATTAACTAAGCGAACAGCTCGAATTCGTTCGCTAGTTAATTTTGGTTCATACTGTTTGATAAAGCAATCAATCAAATCACGAAAAGTGATCACAGATGAATCAACTTGTATAGAGACTAAACGTTGTTCACCATCAACTTTAGCATAAAGTACATACATTTGATTATAATTCATAATAGATAATGGTAAAAAAGTAAAAGGCTCATTGGTTATTTCAATTTGCTGACATTCAAGACATTTAACAGTTGATCGAAATTGACCATAGAATAAATCAGTAATAAGTGTGTTTTTCATTGAAAATTCAGCATGAATAAGATGTAAAAAATGATCCATAAATTCATGTGCATCTTGTTGTCGATAACTTTCATAATGTGGTAAATTATCTTGAATATTTTCAAGAAGTAACGATGGATTGATCACTGTATATTTTCCTGACCACATTTTTTTAATTAATTTTCTATATTCACTAATAATTGGTGCATTAACTTCATCATTTAACTCCAAAATACTTTTTATAAATTTGGGTATATAATTTAAACATTGAAAAACACTATTCATAAAGCAAGTACTACCTAAATTGCTTAGTCCACATATACCCAATGGAACTTTTGAACTAAAATTTTCTTCATCAAAATCTGTACTTATAAATGTATACGATTCAAAAGATAGGTTATCTAAAGTTTTATCATCCATGTCCGATTCAAATTTCGTCCAGCCATCTTTATTCCATCGAAAGAGAGGTTGATTCTTCGGTAACTTATTAAGTATAACATAGACTTCTTTTCGTAATTTTCTAAGAGTGCATAAAGAGTTAATATATATATTTGTATAATGTGTTCTATCCATAGGTATTCTACAAATTTTCAATAATAATTCACGACTATTTTCGGAAACTGAAGTTGAACTAAGAAGATGTTGATCTTTTGGTGTCTCTTGAGTACGATATCCGATAGCTAAGGTACAACCAGAGCGTAATTTCAGGTGATTGATAGTGGTCGAAGGATTTGACTCATCAATTACTTTCCATTGTTTATCATTTTCGTCAAACACTTCCAAAAAAAAATCTTTTATCGGCACATTAATTGGTAAATAAAGCGCAATTTTCTCTTTCAACACTTTTATAGTATCAGACAACCCTATATCTATGTATCCACAATCCGTTTTATTATGTTTGGTTTTGTATATTTTCAAATTAAGAAGATTTGTTTTGGGTTCAGGATATATTGTTAATGAACGAACATTATTCTTATCATTCAATGAGTAATGATTATTCGGTGTGAGATTAACATGGGCTACATGACGACGAGCCATATGGACGAAGTATGATTAAATATTGAAGAGATTTTTCGCATAAAAGCTTATAAATAAATATATCTGAAAAGCGTGAGAATGTTATTTTTCTTCATAAAATTTTCTCTTTTTTTAAACTATGATCAATAAATATGTTTTTATATTCATAACCTTCTAATTATTTAGTTATAATACAAAGTATCGAGATAATCATTTAATAAATGAATTAAAATTTATTTCAAGACATTGAAGATCAAACTTTTGATCATCGATAAAATCCAGAATAATTATAGTAACAATCAAATTTTTTATCATTTGTTTCATTTTTTTACCTTACCGATCGTATTTAAATAATATCATCGAGAGTAGTTTATTTTCTATATTGTAATTATCAAGATTTGTTCTCAAAATTAAATATTGAACTTTCAACGAATTCAAATTTTTACAACTTACTGAGTACATCTTTTTCTTTTGTTGTTTTGAATAATTACGAGTTGATGACACATTAAGCAAGTTCATTATTATATTATATATATCTGAAAAAAAAAGTATTTAAAAATTTTTTTTTTACTTTTTATTTTATCTATTTGACATCAACGAATAGTCTATCAAGATGTAGAATTTTTCGATTCTTTACATTTTAAATATACCAGTACATAAGCATTACGCATAATAACATGATCAGAATTGATTTTATCTATACAATGATCATTAAATTCATACCATTGTTTCATTAATTTATTTATTGCTAGTAGTTGTATACTATTCACTAGTCAAACTTCCAACATAAACAAATATATCTTGGTAATGATAAACATATGTTTGTTTGTTTTTTCTGCTTGAGTATATTGTTTACATGAATGACAATAATATAAACCATTTAAATTATCTTCTAAACAAAAATCATTAATTAAATTTTCAAGTAAGATTTCTTTATTAGATAATGTTTTTAGTGATAATGAAAAAGTGAAAGAAATGTTGCTGTTTCATCTGTAATATCAATAAAATTACATTATATACATGTAACTTGTGATTGAGTATGAATATGAAAAAGTTGAGTAATAATTTTTGTTGAATTTGTTCATTCAATAACATTTAAAAAAGAATTCATAAATTCATGTGAATCTTCTTTGTGCATAATCAATAAATATTGAAGCAGAATGACTAACGATTTTTTTGATATTTTGAGAATTAATCGTAGCATATTCATCAGACCACATTGATTGTATTAAAGAACTATATTTATGAATAATATCTTGGTTTTTGATTTAGAGCTCATTGAGATAATTCTGGTATATTACTCAAATATTAAAGAGCACTATTGATATAGCACGTATTACCAATATTTATCAAACCACATAAACCAGGAATATATTGTGCTGATTGACTGGTATTTTGTGTTGTTGAAATTTTTTCATCTGACAAAATTTGATTTGTATTATTTATATTTGGTAGTATTAATTTCTCGTATTGATTCACCGTTGCCAATGTTGTTATTTGTTCTTTAGCGAAATCAGATTCGTCGTTCTTTTTTATTCATACTTCTTGATAATCATTCTTTTGAAGTTTGTAATTGTTCTACTTTTGTTTTTAGTGAAACAGAAGTTCTCAGTTTCATTGGAGGTGGAATTGATTCATGAACATCTGAAAACAGTTTTTTTTTGTTTATTATATTCATTATGTAATACTATCGAATATACATACTGGTATGTGTATTAGTCGTATTTCTTGGTGATGGAGCAATTGTTGGTTTTATATGGATAAAATCATTGGTTTTCGAAGACAGAATTAGAGAAGATATTGTTTGATGAGAAGAAGTATTTTTTCGATGGACTTTAGCTGAAGTTAATGAGTTTGATCATTTTTGTTCTCTATTGATGTTTACTGAAGAATTCCGTCGTGTTATATTTGTAGTCGAATAGTTCATTGTCTGAAAAACAAAATGATAAAAATGAAAAAATGAAAAAATCAACAAATTATAAAATAATATTATTTACTAGGCAAATGAGCCATATAATAGATTTATATTATCCATTCTTAATTTTTGTGTTTTTGCTGTCATAAATTCTCCATAGGTAGAAAAATTATATATTTTATTGAAACTAATAATAAAATAAATTAATTTAACTATAAATTATATTTTCAATCTGTCACAATGGTTGGCAAATTCTCTGTATAAGCTTCATTAAAATATTTTAACATAGGAAGAAAAACATGTTGTGATGTTGTTTTTCGAAACACGAGGTTTTTTGCAAGAAAAGGAAAAAAAAAAGAAAATGATGAGGTAGGACTCCATGATTTTTGTTTTTCTCTTGCATACATAAAGACGATTCGTTTAAAATAAATGTAAAAAAAAATTAGTTTACATTGCGTTATTTTCTATGCTTTACCATATAATTTCAAGATCATACTCTGAAAGATTAAAATTTGTCAACTGATAAACGGTGTCATTAATCTGCTAATCTAATATAAATTTAAATTATATGCACTTTGAAATTTATTAAATTATTCTATTTCGTTATAAGATTTCATATAGGATATATGCCCTATTTTCAACATGATATTTATGTAAAAATTATGTTTAACGTAATTTTTTCATTTAATAAGTTCTGATCTGTCGAAAAATCTTGTCCTGAAGCTTATTAAAGTATTTTAATCGTACTTGTCGTATTAAATAACTTTCTTTTTAAAGATCTGATAAAGATGTTTTCTCATACATATCATGATATTAATTCAATTCAATTTTTTCTCGATAGTTATCATTCTGAATTTCTTTTTTATGAACAATATATTTTTCAAGCGGTAATTTGTACGATATTTATTCTAATCAAAGACAAATTTTTGTTAGATATTGTCAAATAGAAAAAAATAATTATTTATTTGTTGATATTTGAATAAAACTTAAAGAAAATATATCGAATAAAACAACAGATTTATTTTTCTTGGAAGATCATTTGAAAATTAGGTGTGTGATCATCATTCATTCACACCCGTCTTTCAGATTTTATTTACTAAAGACTCAAAGATTTGACACATACGAGCAGCGTTACTTAACAAGAAAAATAGATACTCTCAATTTTCTTGCATTCTTGTGAAATCTCCTACGATGACTAAAAAAGATCATGCTTTTGAAACGATTGGATCAATAGAATAGAAATCCAATCGTCATTTCGACGATCTTTCCAGGATATCTCTGAAAGGTCAAAACACATATGCAAAGAACCATTCACAATTATCAAAAACGGAAAACTAAAAATTTTCAGTACTGACTTTTGGCTATTGTCGAAAGTCTACAGCGCATATTACTACGACAAAATCCATGAATTCCTCAAAAACTAGAAGGATATTAGTCATTTAGACTGACTTGAAAAACAAATGATTGAAAAACGTTTTACCAACAAGATGGCACACAATTATTTATGCATGCTCTTTAAATCTGCTAAGTGTTCCCATCGATTCATTTTATCGAATCAATAGTCAATAATGATTATTGGCAGTACAAGTATAGGGAAAAATAGACCGATCGACGAAAAATTTCATCAAGAAACAACATGATAGGAGTTTTGTGTGAAATTTTCTGAGTAATTGCTAATCAAACTTATTAATACGACTAGATTTCCATTGTATTATTTGTGCATGAAAGAAAAGATTAAGTATATATTACCATCAGTGACTATTTTAATGGAATTTTTATTCTTCTTAGATTGATTACTGATAGACATTTAAACCACATCCAATCGTCATTTATGCTACTTAAAAATTCAATGTTTGTATTAGGAAATAAATGCAGAATTTTCTTCCTTCAAAGAAATCATCATTGGATTGTATCTGTTTTAATAAAATTTAATGAAGATTTATTTTAGTTTTGAAACTTTTTTTTTTACATGTATCAGGAGACACATGTGAAGGAGATAAGAGTGGATCTTTCATGCATTTTTCTTCAAGAAAATAACGATTTCAACTTTTGAGTATTATTGATTTCGGAACACGTTGCCAATATAGACCTGTGTCCATTTGCTTCTATCGGATTGAAACTATTACTAATAATAATAATACGAATAAAAATTGTTATTTTTTTTCGAGCGGGAAAGAAATTCTATATTATTCTGTTGGATATATTTCGTTGTGTTCCAAATAAAACATCCTCTAAATACATTTTTTTCTGTCGATTTATCAACCAATAAAATAAGTTGAAGTAGGTCTCTTATGCAATCAATAATATAATTATAAAGAAAGAAAACAATTGAGACAAATACATTTTTAATATAACAATGTCAGAATCACAAATCTTTTTCAAATTGTTATCTATTGTTGTTATTCCTTTACTAATCATTGTTGTTCTCGGTATATCATATTGGATTTTTGTTCGTCGACGATGGAAAAGCCAAAATTCAAATAATGAAAACTCAGAAAAATAATTCATAATTACCGAACCTATTCATCAAACAATGCTTTCAAAAAATGAATAGGGTGTGGGTGTGGGTGTAGGTGTGGATATGGGGTGTGGGTGTCAGTGTGGAGAGGGTGTGGGTGTGGGTGTGGGTGAGGGCTTGTGTGGACATGGGCTTGTTGGCGTGAGTGTAGGTGTGGGTGTCGTTGAACAGAGCAGCTACACCGACACTCACACCCACACCCACATCTATTCATAAAATATATTAGTGCCACTTGCCAACCCTTGCTCGAAAAAATCAATTCCTATACCTCCTGTATCTCCTATACCCCCTTATACCTCCCTATACTTCCTATATTTCCTATACCTCCTTATATCTCCTATACTTTGATGAACAGGAAACTACAGAGATGTCCGAAAATTCAAATAAGGCATCTAATCTTTTTCGAGCTCGTGAACAAGAATGGCCTCATCAACGATATGTTATTAATCCAACATTTTCATCTGCTAAACTTAAATTTATGTTTCCACCGATCAATGGATGTATTGAAGCTATGTTAAATCAATTGTCACAAATGATGAACGCTGAACAACAACATGAAGTCAACATTTATGAATTACACAAACGATTGACGATGGATGTTATTTATAAGAACATCGATCAAAGTGAAACATTAATATCGTATTTTTATCAGCATATCTTCAGGTGGTTGTGCATTTGGGTATGGGTGTGGGATGGGTGTGGGTGTAGGATGGGTGTGGGTGTGGCTGTGGGTGTGGAACGGGTGTGGATGCGGGTGGTATGGGCGTGAGGTGGTGGTATGGGTATGGGTTGGGCTTGGGCTTGGGTGCGGATGTGAGTGTGGGTGTAGCGTAGGTGTGAAGATAAGTCACGCCGACACCGATGCCCACACCCACACCGACACCAATACCCACACCCACTCACCCACCCACACTCACCCATATCACACCCACCCACTCACACCCACACCCATCTTTTGCGCTGTTTTTCTGCAATTTTTAATTCGAACTGGCTTCAAAAACCTATTGAGAGAAATTTTGTACTTTATCTACTGGAAAACTCAGTGAGCAACGGTCCACTACATGCTAAATAGCCCACCGATGGGACACCTTTGACTGCAGGATAACTTTTCGTTATTTTTATGATTTTGAACCCTCGTGAAGCTAGAGTGACCGATGGCTAGCTGTGCCATAAAGGGTCTCTCTAGACATCTCTTTATGGATATAAACCTTTAACATGCCTCTATCACTGATAAAAATTCAGCTCGTTTGCTCGAGCCATAACATAATGGAAATATTCAGGTTTTTTTTCGGTGAACCGACTTTTGGACCACTATGCAGTTTTGACTATATCTCGGAAAGGAAGAGCCATGGGCACGAACCCTTATAGGATTTTCTTAGTCTCACTGATGTCCACCTATAGCCAAAACATGAAGCCAAAAGCACAGAATCAGTTTGTTATGGCACATAGATTAGATGTGTCATAGGAAACATGTTATATATGCTATCGATATATGTTAGTTCTCTTGCTCTTGTTATATGCATATATGGTCAACTATATGTCTTTTCTTTCGTTCTGTTAGATATTTCACTTAGTGTGTTCTTTTGTTTCTTCCTGTACTTTCGTTCTTTCTTTGATCTAATAAGTCTTGTTCGTTTTCTTCAATCTCTATTATCTTTCTTTTTTCTATTCTCGTAAAAGTTAAGAAAACGTTTTTCTTGACCTTGAACTGGAATTTATTGCGTAGGTAGCAATGCGTAACAACATTATATATTGGTTGGTGTATTTTTCTATGAGAGAGATATAGTTGGAGTGAGAGAAGAAGTGATTATAGTTGGTGGTCATTGATTCAACAAAAATAACTGATTAAAAAATATTTAAGTAACATCTTAGAAGCAAGCATATACACATTAACGTTAAATAGGACATAACACAGTTGAAGTAGTTCCCTCGTTAGAATATATATATGACTTTGGCAACCTATGTTTAGCTTTGGAAGCATCTGTCTATGATAAAACATGGACTTGGAATGATTTATAAAATGTAGATGCGCAAGTCAGCTCGAAATTTCGAGTTTACGTGTCCAGCTCACTTATTTTTGACCGAGCACTTAGTGCTCGTCGCTTTTTACAAGAACAATCGCTAACAGACTCCAACTCAAGTGTGTAAGGAGCCACAATTCTTTAGTAGAGTGATTTTGGATCTTGCCTATTCAAACTCGAAGTTGAATGAAAACTGGATTTTAAGTTAAATCTTAACATGGTTCCAGATCTGATAAAAACTAAAAGTTTGACTCTGAGTCAAGAGAAATATATAACTCTCTACCAATTACTCCCAAGTCGATCGTTCCGGTCACCGGATACTGCAGGAACCGGCAGGAAAGACGTGGAACGACCGCCGGTTCCTGCAGAAAAACACCGGAACTCAACGGAACATGGAAGCAGTATTCCGGCCGGAAATTTTTCGGACTTTTTCCGGCGGGTTCCTGCCGGAAAGAACAGGAATTGGCTGGAATCCACCGGAAAAAAATCCGAAAAATTTCCGACCGGAATATTGCTTCCATGTTCCGTTGCTTTCTGGTGTTTTCCTGCCGGAACCGGCCGGTACTTTTCGACCTGGGCTAGTTTAATTTCACATTTATGGATAGATGTCTGTCGTGTCAACACATATCAAGGTCATCATATGTGTAAGAACAAAAAAACTCTTATTCAATTAAATTTTTCATCTAACCAATTTGAATTTATTAATGAGAGTCACGATCCGAAAATAATCCAGCATAAAAAGAAGAAGTAGCAATTCCACACATGTTATCATTTCGTTTAACTTTGATATAACCATCCTCACCCCAGTCTGCTCCCCATGAATTTTTTATTTTCCAATAGTCAACACCATTTTCAGTACCATAACCAACAACAACAGGATTATGATTCAGATTTCTATTTGCTGGACAGCCAGGTACATCAAAAATACCAGATGCATAATGATCAAATTTTTGTGATACTTCTCGTAAGATAGTATCATTGCCTGTACGTTCTCCACAATCAAAAGAAACAACAACTGGACCTTGTTCATACACAATTTTTTTCATAAATTCTTCATCTTCAGCTGGTATTTCGTGATATTGAAGTTTATATGTTGAATTATATGTAAGCAGTACTCCATCTGAATGTTGACATTTTTGTTTTTCTGCAGCATTGGCTGGTTGTGGATAATCTTTTTCTAAATTAAGTTTATAATGATTTCTTTGAAGATAATAAAATGATCCAACAAAACTTCCTCCATCACAGCCACCTTGTCCTGAACAATCAATTATTTGTTGTGGACTTAATGGACCAGATTCTTTATAAATTTCTGCATATGTTTTTTCTAAACCTCCAACAAAACCAAAAGCATAACATGAACCACAATGATGTTGATTTTTAACAGGCGTAACAGCCCCTGGGACGCGCGTTTGATTAGTCCAATCATATTCTGGTGGAATTACTGCGCGACTACGTAATTCCGTTGATTGTTTCTTACTATTTGGTTGAGCATGTATTTTCGAACGTAATCTATCTCTTTCTTCATCAGTCCAATCACTAAATTCATTTATTTTTAATTTAAATGTTGATGAAGGATCTTCATTATGTCGAATAACATATTTTAAATTTGATTTAAATATTTCCACACGTTGAGATGCTTTAAAATCGATCATTCTACCTGAATCTTGACGAGGATATACTTCTTGAAAATATCGATAAACATGATTAACTAATTCTGGATTACTTTCAACAAGTTGTTCTTTATTCTGTGTATTTGATAACATTTTATCAACAAACTGTTGAACGGATAAAGCTGAGTAAACATAGCCAAATAAACAGACGATCAAAGCAGTTGTTAAAGATTTCATCTTGATGTTGTTTTTTCTCAATAAAGAGCATTTATCCTTCGAGCGTTTTTACATTTTATAGGTTTCAATCAATATTTATTTTCCATCTGTTTTTGTTCTCATCCTATAACGTTATTACTAATATTGATTTTTTTCTTATCTAATTCATTCGATTAAGGTAAGTATCACTATGCGATATCAAAATGACGACCATTTTATTCATTATCTTTGCGAAAGAACCAATAACAATAACACATTGTAAATGCCCCCACAAAAAAAGAGCAAAGAATCGGTCAAAAAAATAGTGAGGCCCACACGTAAACTTCGAACTTGCAGCGCATTTACGCATCCATATTTTAATCATTGATATCAGTCCCAGTGTTTCTAACAGCAAGGATTCGGCCTTTTCTGGATACTTTGTATTGTTTCTGAAACAGAAAATCCTTTGTTTGTACGTTATGAGTCATAACTCCATTATAAACACTGCCTATAGGTCCTCAAGGGTCATAATATAGAAGTACCTATAGATGCACAAGAGCTATAATATGGAGGTACCCATAGGCTCTCAAGCCCTATCTTATCGGAGTATCCATAGGATGGGTGTGGATACGGGTGTGAGTGGGTGTGGATGCGGGTGCGGGTGCGGGTGTAGATGCCGGTGCGGGTGTGAGTGGATGTGGATCGGTGTGGGTGTGGGTGTGGGTGCCGGTGTAGGTGCCGGTGCGGGTGGGTGTGGGATGCAGGTGTGCATGTGGATGTGGGTGTTGGCTGTGGACTGTGAGTGTGATTGTCTACAAAGAATATGATCACACCCACCCACACCCAGATTCCAAAAATTTCAGCCTTCTACAAACAAAGCATTAGGAAATCAAATTTTCTGCAATAGCGATATAGGAACGAAGCAATAAAAGAATAAAGAGATGCCGGAATAAGACAATAGAGCAAACGTGAAATAGCTGGGTTTTTTTTATTTTGAAATAAAAAAAGAATCCAAAAACTTAGAAAAACCAAGAAACACAAAAAAAACATAGAAGAAAAATTTATAAAGACGTACAAATCAGAAAATGAAAAAAAATCTGACTTCAACTAGTTGGCCTTTGAAATAAAGTAATAAGGGAATAGAGGAGTAGTTCAGTAATATAGAAATATCGGAACAGAAGAATGAAGAGATGGCAACCGACCGACTAGGATTTATTTTGAAATGGTCTCAGAATTGATATCATTTCATAGAATAATAGTCTAGGTGATAGCTCATGTCTGTGCTCATATTTTAGAGTCCGGAAATTAATGTTTCTTTTCGTCTAACTTCAAATATTGAAGATGGTGCGGATATGCTTGTAGTGAATGGAGTGTTTGACGTTGTTTATTGGGTGAAACATCAGATTGAAAATTAGGATTAAACCTATGGTCATATTCGAAATCTGTCAGATCCTTATTGAGTTTAAATGCATGCATAGTTCGTGTGCCGGGAAATTGAGCCAAGCCAAATTTGAGAAAATAGTTTATCACAATGAATCGATTCTCATCTTTCGGATATATAACAGTATGTGAACCAACATTATTATTATTTTGAGTACAGAATTGGGCAAAAGTTGTATGTTTGAATGAACCAGGAATACCAATTTTCACATGTTGGATTGTTTGAATAGAGCAAAAGTCAAATACACGAAGAATATTTGGTTTTTCTGGTCTTGCTATATTCACTAAAACGACATATCGCATTTGAAAAGTCATTAATAAACGTTTGCCATTTGGAAACATCGACAAAAGACCAGCACTAAGTCGTTGTTGATAACAATTTATTTGAGAAAAATCAAGAGCTAGAATAGGTTCTGGCATGCCAGGGCCGATTAAATACATATTGTTCACATTACTACCACTGACATAAGAACGTCCTAATGGATCACCAGGAATAGTTTTAAGTTCCATAAATCCAATGTCTTATCCGATTCCACTTGATGATCCCAGTGTAGTAGGAAATTGAAATCGAAAAGTACGCTCTAATGTTCCATCAGAAAGAATATGTCGAGCCGTATTTCGAAATATAATCTGTGATGGATCGGTGCCAACTAATGAACGAGATTCAAGAAAGTCTGCTACGAAGATTGAACCGTTGGGGAGTCGGCCATACCCATGTGGATTAAAGTCAACGAAAGCTGATATGTTTTTTAGAATTGATTTCGCCATACCAGTCTCAGCATTGATATGTACCATATTGCCTGGACTGGCACCTTGCTCATTACACATCATGCTTACAAGGAACTCAGAGCCACCAATCGGCAAAAACTCGTCTGGACACGCACTTGGCACATCAAGTGCATATAGAAACTTCGGGCCTTTCGAAGGATTTTCGGGAATTTTCCAGACAAATACTTCCTTATTTCCTGAAAGATAACTGAGAAGACCACCACTAATAAAATAGCGGCCATTGGCAGAAACAGCTGAATGATGTGGCTCATTTCCTTTTTCTGCAATGCCGTGAGCGACGTCCGAAACAAGTGAAACTGTTTTCAAAATATGTCCATAGGTAGGCGATGTCTCATCAAAGTCGATTACAGCAACAAAATCAGAGGCATTCGATACGGAATTATCTTGCCCAGACCAAACATACAACACAGATGGAGAGGATGCTGTTGACCAGTGTTCATGTGTTCTTGAAGACACTATTAGCAGAAATAAGCTGAATAATGTTGTATAATGCCACATATTTTCGTTCAAGCAATTAATATTGGATTCTATTTCCTTTTTTTTCGCAAATAATAGAAAGATTTTTTTTTGTAATGAACAATCGAGAGATTTTTCGAAAATAACGATAATAGATTGATCTAGAATGAAACGAAAATACAGCGAAATTAACAGGCATTTATGGTCATACAAGCAAGAATAAATGATGCAAGACGAGAATAAAAGGGTGTGACTGTAGGCCTAGAAGAGCTCGAGCGTTTGTGTGAGTGAAAGAACACGAAATAGTTGCAGACACAGCTATACCCCGCTTACTCACTCATCTGAATCCACACACAAACCCAAAAGTAATTGCACGAATATCGGTCTGTATTTCTCTTCAATAAAAGAATGCTGTAATAAAACTCTTTTTAACAGCAGAGAGAGAATGTTTTCCTCTTTCAAATCGTATATAACCTCTTTTTAAAAAGAAGTTATATTCGATTTGACAGGAGAAAATATTCTGTATCTACTGGTAGAAAGAGTTTTCTTACAGTATCTTTTTAATGAAGAGAAATAGAGACTGATATTGGGGCAATTACTTCTGCATCGTATGTTAGCGTCAAGTATAAGAAATAATGCATA